AAGAAGAGAGATTTTGGGTATGACTGATCATTGTGGAAGTTGCCTGGGAGAGAGAGATGGGTCAAGTTTTATACATAAATGAGTTAGTAAAGGAAGAGAACAATTTTAATGGAAGACAATTGAAGAAAGAGATATATGAGATGGTAGATGCTGATGGTTTTAGGTTCGCAACTTGTAAATGTTAATTATCAATTTCTTCTTCATCAGATAAGTTTGTTTTTCTGAGGTGCACAAGAATTATTAGGTTACGCAAGATGAGTTTGATGTGCGAGGTTTAGGGTAGACAATATAATAATGGATTGGAAGCCATGAGTTATTCTGTGATATGGCAAGGTGCTTCATCTTAACGATATATTCTAAAGGTAATAAGTGGGGACTAGTAACAATATCATGAGAGTCTAGGAAAGAAAGAATATAAAAATGATTAAGAACAAATTGTGAACCTTAGTTCTAGACATTCTTGACATGTAATGATGATTCCAAAAAGGTGTTATCTTTAATGTGGTCANAAAAAATGATTAAGAACAAATTGTGAATCTTAGTTGTAGACATTCTTGACATGTAATGATGATTCCAAAAAGGTGTTATCTTTAATGTGGTCAAATCCATTCTACTTTGATTTCCTCGAGGATGCCTTGGGTTTTATGAAGTAACCGTTTAACCTCGAAAACCACCCATGCCTTAATTCTTTAATGTGTGAAATCTGAGATGGGCATTATTTTTAATCATGTTTTGGTTCTATAATGTCAATCTAAAGAGTTTGATGGAGTGAAGACTTAGATAGCTTATCGAAATCAACGATGAAACTTGACAAGATTGCAGAACTGAATGGTTTTGCTTTGAGTTTTGATCGGCTAATTATGGAATAAGAAGTGATAATAATTTAGTTATTGAATTTTACAATTCTTTGAGAGGCTATTCAATTTAAAGAAAGGTCAAGAAGCATTAGACGCTTCAAAGTCCCGAATAGAGTTAGTGTGGCAGTCTATTAAGAGGCTTTATCACCTCGACTTGTTGCGGGTGTAACATATTCCATGCGTCTATGTTAAGTAAGAATATTTATAGCTCATTGCATGTGATTTACAATGAACCATTCTACGTTCATATAGTGGCTTGACCTAAGAGCAGCAACAATACAGGCTCTAGACAAAAGACAAATCAATTGGTTAACTGGTTATAAAGGATCATGCAGTTGAGGCCATTTTTTTTTCAAAGGGGCAAATGCATCAAGAATACCACACTTATTCGGTTGGAATAACTAGCATAATTTCGAGGACAAAATTATTTTAAGGGGGGAAGAATGTAATATCCCGTTCCAATTTGGCAAAGAACTAGTTAAGGAATATTATCTTGGAAGGAATAAGAAAAAATTTAAAGAAGAATTTAGAATAGTCTAGAAGATTCTAGAAAATTCAAGGATAACCTAGAATAGTCTAAAACAATCTCAAAGAATCTAGAATATTAAAGAAGTTTCTAAAAGAATCCAAAAAATTCTAGAACAATCTAGAGAAGTTTAGAATATTTTAGAAGATTCTAGAGAGATTTAGAATGTTTCAGAAAGTTTCAGAAGGATTTAGAAGATTGGAGAAGACTTTAGAATATTATAGATGAATCTAGATACTTGTAGAATTGTCATGTGCAAAATAAGTTGGAAACCTATAAGGATCTAGGAGAGGGGAGATGGTAGAATATTCTAGAGAATCTCCCCTAAAAATATCACATGTCAATATTCTCTAGAATAATCCTAAGATGCCTATAAATAAGGCATTTGAGGATTGGATTAAGGAAACTAGGGCACAAGTAGTCTTCCACTTTCAAGAAATAATAGAGAGTAAAAGAGAGAAGAAGGAAGGAAGAGCATTTCATCAAAGGAAATTGTGAGAAAAAGAGAAAAGGCATCAATAACATCTCACTCTACTTCGGGTAACAAGCAACACTCAAGCAGCATATCATTCTCTTTGCACTTAAAGTGAGTAGTTTGACATGCTACATATTTTCAAAATTTTCCCGTATCCCTAAACATTTTAAAAACTTGTTCATTACTACCTTTACAAAATGTTTTACTAAGTGTCTAAATATTTGTGGCATACGATTCTGCATTCTTGATGAATTCTTGTAACTTAATCATTTATATGGTGAGACTTAGTGATGGTAAATGGGACCAAAATTAAAAGTTCAGAGAAATTATTCTTCTGTGTGCGGGTGACTTTGGCCACTAGGGAACAGACCCGGGGGAGACTGAGGCGACCCTAGTGCTCAACGGTTGAAGGAACAGTGTCTGGTGCGTCCTAGTGACCTTCACTGGATCGTCTTAGGGAACAGTTCTAGGGCGGCAACCCGTGGTGACCCTAAGTACGATCTTGATGTTGGTTTTTTTTTTTATGGAGTCTAGTTTGTATATGTGATCTGAATGATGACCCGACCCGAAATAATGTTGTGTGGTTTTTAATGGGAAATTTTATGAGGCTTAGTCCATGGAGCGAAGGCTTGGGCCGATAGGCCCAAGCCGTAGTAGCGCTCGTGGACAAGCCTCGTGGGGGTTCGGGGGCAACGCCCCCGAGGAAAATTTTTGGGCCCGTTATACAGCCCAGTGCGTAGGACATATAAACCCTGTTGTTTTGGTGATTAGGGTTTTGTTGTGGATTGTACAGCCACTCTCTGTAATTCAACTCTCTCAATAGTGAAATCCCTGCAGCTTCGTGGACGTAGGCAAATTGCCGAACCACGTAAAATCTGTGTCTTGTTCTTTCTTGTTTCTTATTGTTTTATATTCTTGATTTGTTCTTCGATTGTGTGTGTTTGTTAGTGGATTTAAATCGAGTTAAATCCCAACAGTTGAATCTAACTTGAGATATATTCTAGCTTTTGGTACTGAAAGTCCAGGAAAATTATTCCTCTGTGTGCAGGTGACCCTGGCCACTAGGGAACAGACCTGGGGGAGGTTGAGGTGACCCTAATGCTCAACGGTTGAAGGAACAGTACCTGGTACGTCCTGGTGACCTTCACCGGATCGCCTTAGGGAACAGACCCGGGGAGGCTGTGGTGACCCTAAATACGATGTTGGATCCAACCTTGAGATCTTCTAGCATTTGATATGGTTCTCAGATATCGTACAAGTCCTTACCAGTATGAGATGATTATATAATTTGTTATTGTCACAACGTTTTTTTTTACTGGCTTTGTTTATGATTATCTGTCGTATGTCATACATATTTTCTTGTATTTGGTATTTAGTTTCCATCGATTATTGGATATTGTACAGTCTCCACCATTATGATATGATTCACCATTGTGGTATGATTTCTTGTTGAAATCCGATTGTGTTATTTTTGAAAAATTGATTATCTTGATGAAGTTATTTTTTCGAACTTTTGATTTACATGTCATATGCCAAATATGTTTTTCAGTCACTTTGAATATGCATGTCTTTCCATTCACTGGGCTTTTTAGCTCATGTTTTCAAAATAATATTTTTTTTCTAGGTAAACGATTAGAGTGTCAATAGCGGACTCAGGGAATTGATTTGGGACTAATAGTGTTGTGACCTCCGTAGCATATATCGTATAACCATCTTTACTTGTTTGGATAATTGGGACAAACAAGTTTAGGTATGTTGACTTTGATATATTGACATGAGATCAATTTAGTGTTAATGTTATTTTTCGCTCCTATATTATTAGTTTATTGTTAGGCTTATGTGTTCCATATGTTATGGATCAATGGTTCACGGCTGGTCATGCCCTTAGAGTTGGGATGTGACAGGCAGGCCCAACCAATTCGTCTCCATCCTCTAGCGCTGGACACTTGGACTGGAACTGTATCTGGAACCAGAAAATACCATATAAAATTAAGATTTTTGTTTGGCGGGTCTGTTCCAACATATTACCAACAGGGGACAATCTTCAAAGAAGGAGAATTGAGGTGAATAGGTGTTGTGCAGTGTGTCAAGATGAACCTGAGTCCTTAGATTGCACTTGGGCCAAGGCAGTATGGTGTTGCAGCTCTTTAAAGGTAGTAAGCCAACTTATGTCCCTTGATTCTGGGCAGTGGGTGCGTGAAGCTCATTTGATTCTGGGCAGTGGGTGCGTGAAGCTCATCAGGCCCTCCAAATTGATGAGTTTTCTTTGTTCCTTATTCAGTGTTGGTTTGTGTGGAGAAACAGAAACATTAGAATTTTTGAAAATATGGTTCAAGACCCCCAAAGTGCAGATGAAGGCAACTGAATATTGCAGTCAATATAGGGAGGCAGCAGCTCAGCCCCTTGCCGAGCAAACTCCCAACGTTGGGTGGTGTACTCCAAGGGCAGGTACTTTCAAAGTTAACTTTGATGCTACTGTATATGCAGATCGGAATATCTTAGTTGTGGGGTAGTCATACAAGATGATAGGGGTTACTTTGTAGGGGCCTTGTCCAAAAGGATTGCTATGAGTTGTAATATTAGAAAAGCAGAAACTATTGCAGCAAAGATTGCAATACAATTTGCAAAGCAGCAAGAAATAGTAAAAGTCATTTTGGAAGGGGTTTCGATATGTGTTATGAATTCTATAAGGAATGGTGATAGAGATTTTGATCCTCTTGAAGCTATCTTCCAAGATATTAGTAGCATAGAGAGGAGTTTTCGACTTTTTGAAGTATCCGAAGTTAGACACAACTGGAATAAAGTAGGTCATGAATTAACTCGTTTTGCTTTACCATTAAATAGTAGCGTTGTATGGTTGGAGCAGGCACTAGACTTTGTTATGCCTCTACTTTTAGCTGACATTCCTGAGTAACAAAATTTTATCGATGTTTCTCAAAAAAAGAAAAAAACAAACACTTGCTCCATCTACCGTATGGCCAATTGGTTGGTAACTTCGTTAATAGGCCGATCGAGTTCATACCATCTCATTTGTTTACTCTACTCATCCCCTCGATTATTTTTAGTAATAGACACGTGTGCAAGTCTCATTTAACTCTCCACCTACAAATCCTCTACTNTCTACTCATCCCCTCGATTATTTTTAGTAATAGACACGTGTGCAAGTCTCATTTAACTCTCCACCTACAAATCCTCTACTCAGATTATATGTTGATACGCTAGCAATCAGCTTCTGCCCCGAAAGCAGCTTCTGCCCAGGAACTAAACAGTCTGTGGGCTGATCAAATGACTGCCAAACCGTTGCATTGTTTCTGTCAAAAAGCACAAGGTTCCCCATTTCTGTCAAGCTTAAGCCTGAAACATTCTTACCACTAGTGTTTGTCGACCAAACCAAGGTTCCATCTGCCTCTCTCAACACCAAATCTCCATCTTCTGTGAGGTTCACTGTTGCATTAATCTTGACAGGATTGTCTCGATTCGCCACCAGACTACTTGTGGGGGTCTACTATTACCAATACTATTGTTGCAATAGAAGCCACAGAAAAATTGTGGGTTAGAGCTTCCTGCTCCTGCATGAAGAACAGTTCTAAATGTGATATCATCTGAGGAATTCATAGGCGTGGGATTGTTGGTCCAGGAGGTCAATAAGTTGGCCATTGTGTAATATAAAGGTGTTGCAATGATCAAATGTGAAGAAGAGATGATCAGAAGAGCAAGAAAGAGAAGAGAACCACAAAGATTCTGAAATTGCCCCATTGCTACTTCCAATGAGAAGTTCTACTTTCTGGAAAAGAAGCTTGGGGAGAAGGAAAAGTATCAAACAATAAATTCAGAGTGCTTATTGCACAATAATACACTGGTTTGTAAGTCAAGCTACACAGTTTTTTGGCTGGAAGTCAAGTACTTCACGACTGCCACTCATATAGTTATCTAGATATTATTAAGTTTGGCCTTCCTTTTTCTGCTCTGCATTAAATTGGCAATACTTGCAATCAATATTAATAGTCATTGTGGATTCAATAATAATAATGAATTAGATTTTGAGAGTAGGTCTAATGGTAAGTTGTANACTTCACGACTGCCACTCATATAGTTATCTAGATATTATTAAGTTTGGCCTTCCTTTTTCTGCTCTGCATTAAATTGGCAATACTGGCAATCAATATTAATAGTCATTGTGGATTCAATAATAATAATGAATTAGATTTTGAGAGTAGGTCTAATGGTAAGTTGTATTCACTTAGAGTCGTACGCATTTAATGTCGTCCTTGACCCTCATATGATTACCAAACATGATTTGATTCATGAGAATAACGCAGTTTACTATTTAACTTTGATAATGCGGTGGTGACAAACTGTCATACCAAATTAGTAATTATAACTCAAATCAAATATGTCACGATGGAAAACAAAACACAACCGGGTTGTCATAANCCTCATATGATTACCAAACATGATTTGATTCATGAGAATAACGCAGTTTATTATTTAACTTTGATAATGCGGTGGTGACAAACTGTCATACCAAATTAGTAATTATAACTCAAATCAAATATGTCACGATGGAAAACAAAACACAACCGGGTTGTCATAACGACATGGCATTAATTTAGCAACAATTTGCGTGCTTTAGGTCTAAATGTGTGAACAATGACCCGTAATTGTCAAGGGTCAAGTCATGCATATGAATAGTTCCCGTGAAGCAATTTGTCTGCACGCAACCCATTCTGAGTTCAACTACTAGGTCTTCGGGTCGGAGCTCAAAATTTTATTTTGATGTATTATTTTAAGCACTTAGGAAACAAAAATATTTTGACGTATTTCAAAAACGTTTCAACCAGTTTTGAAAATATAATGGAAAAATTAAAATTATTTTTTCAAAACATTGATCAAAATGTAATAAAATATCTTGAAATACTTTAAAATATTCTAAAATAATTGTACAAATGTATTAAAATATTACAAAACATCTCAAAACATTATAAAAAACCTCGAAATATTAGAATTTTAATTTCATTGTTGATTCGTTTCGATGACTTGAAAAACAAAAACATTTCGGATTATTCGACTATTTCAAAACAAAATTGTGATTCTTACTCCTGATGCTGTCATCGTCTAGTGCCTTTAAAATGATTTTAGGGATCNGAATTTTAATTTCATTGTTGATTCGTTTCGATGACCTTGAAAAATAAAAACATTTAGGATTATTCGACTATTTCAAAACAAAATTTTGATTCTTACTCCTGATGCTGTCATCGTCTAGTGCCTTTAAAATGATTTTAGGGATCTTTCTTCAGCTGACCTGATTTGCCATTATCCAACCCTCACTTGTGCAAAATTTCCAGTCAGAAATACTCCAAAACAAAAGAGCGAAGGGTTATGAAATGTGCAGACAAGTGATCGTTGTCTTGAAATAGCAAGACAAACATAAGACCAAAGATCAAAATTTTGTTATGATGAGCTTGAAAATAAAAATATTTCGGTAATATTTCGAAAACATTTCAGAAATAAGATGGAAACAAAGAAAATTTAGAAAATTTATTTCCAATACATTAATCAAAATATACATAAACACTTAGAAACATAAGTTGAAACATGCCGAAACACATCAAAACATCTCAAAACATAAAGAATTTTGATACTAAATCAATAATTCATTTTGGTTTNGTTTCGGTAATATTTCGAAAACATTTCAGAAATAAGATGGAAACAAAAAAAATTTAGAAAATTTATTTCCAATACATTAATCAAAATATACATAAACACTCAGAAACATAAGTTGAAACATGCCGAAACACATCAAAACATCTCAAAACATAAAGAATTTTGATACTAAATCAATAATTCATTTTGGTTTCCATGAAAATGGAAACGTTTCAAACCGAAATTTAGTTTCTTGCATAGGACAAAGCTTTAGAATTCCCAGAATCTTAACAAAATGTCAATGTTAAAAACAAGATTACCGAGGGTTACTCCAAACTGAAATATAGCAACACTTCGAATGCAATACATCTAGTCCATATTGAAGTAGTATAAAGAAGGTAAGCTATGTCTCTGAGTAGTGATTACAGCAAACATAATCACAACTTAAAGCCTTCCAATGGCCTGCGTAGATGTTGTTTTATTCAACTTTCTCCATGAATATAGCCTTCAATTTTCTTCATACTACAAAACTTTATGAGTCACCCCTAATCGAGACAATAAAATGGTTGCATAATAACGATGCCCCAGCTTTGCCAAAAAATCATTGAAGTGCTCGACAAAGTCCTTGCCACTTNTGGCCTGCGTAGATGTTGTTTTATTCAACTTTCTCCATGAATATAGCCTTCAATTTTCTTCATACTACAAAACTTTATGACTCACCCCTAATCGAGACAATAAAATGGTTGCATAATAGCGATGCCCCAGCTTTGCCAAAAAATCATTGAAGTGCTCGACAAAGTCCTTGCCACTTCACGAACTCTTCTTTTAGTGTTGTTAAAAACTCTCTCACTGCATGGATAACAGGGAGAGGATTCTCAAGATGGGCAGCATGCCCGCAGTTAGGAATTTCAACTATTGCTGGATGATCTCTACTCCATGTACCAGAGTTGATAATCGAGCACATGTCCTGAGCAATCCTCTTAAACTTTGCATCTTTCTCTCCAACAATCAGCAGAACGGGTACTTTGCAGTGTTTCAAATCTTCCCATAATGGCCTATCATATAACGAGGAAAAATGTTCAACTGATTACAGAAAATTTTCTGAGAAACATAGCTCATGCAAGAGATGAAGATCTCGGCACAGCCTTGATTATCAAAATGCACATGCCAGCCCACTAAAGCAGCCTTATGTTGGGTGGCTGTATACTTGTATTTACCTGAGTAGTAGCCCTTGTGTGTGGAATGGACAACTTTGATTTGATATGGTGTTAGCTTGTGGTACAANCCTTATGTTGGGTGGCTGTATACTTGTATTTACCTGAGTAGTTGCCCTTGTGTGTGGAATGGACAACTTTGATTTGATATGGTGTTAGCTTGTGGTACAATGATGCTATTGTNTTGCAATCCTCTTAAACTTTGCATCTCTCTCTCCAACAATCAGCAGAACGGGTACTTTGCAGTGTTTCAAATCTTCCCATAATGGCCTATCATACAACGAGGAAAAATGTTCAACTGATTACAGAAAATTTTCTGAGAAACATAGCTCATGCAAGAGATGAAGATCTCGGCACAGCCTTGATTATCAAAATGCACATGCCAGCCCACTAAAGCAGCCTTATGTTGGGTGGCTGTATACTTGTATTTACCTGAGTAGTTGCCCTTGTGTGTGGAATGGACAACTTTGATTTGATATGGTGTTAGCTTGTGGTACAATGATGCTATTGTTCCCATGAACTTATTTCATTATCGTTTGTCAGATAACATCTATTTAGATAACATACTTTAAAGAATTCTTTTTCCCCAAGTAAACGACCTAGTTCAAGACGACAACATGATCATTCCTTTTGAAAAATTCAGACTTTGTTCAACCCCTTCAAATGTGTCCTGAAGGTGATTTAGCAGGTATAGCAGTTTTTTGAGAAACTGAAACTCCCTATGTAGATGAAAATTGGAAAAACTAGAGAAACTTACAGCTGCCTCCCAACACTTGAATCAGATAAAACTTTAGCAAGAGTGTGCACGTCATCTTGCTGCAAACGGTTAGCTACTATTCGCTTGAAATGTGGATGGCCTCTTAAGCTGCAGGTTTAAAAGATATTATCTAGCAGGCCATACATTTAAGCCAAAAAACTAGTACAACTAAAGCAAGAATAGAAGCAAACATTTGAAAGAGAAACCCAGTAACTACCTGCTCCACAGCTCTCCAGCATACCAGCTGTCTAGAAAGACCTCTAGGCCATATGAAACAAGGGAGCATGCTCTGAAATCATCTTTAGCACAACGAACTTTCCTTGCTTCTCTATCAGTCAATCCGGGGCTTCCAGAAATTATAACAGCTCCTTGAACCTAATATAACATATGCTACTTCTACGTTAGCTGCTTGACTATATACGCTGCTTGAAATGAGAAAAAAAAAACCCAATACATCCATGAATTACCTTATCACTGCATTTCAGGGCCATGTATAATGCAATCCTTGCACCCATTGAGTATCCAACAAGAGTAACTTTCCTATTTGTAAGCTGATGAAACAACTTGCATAGCATATCTCCAACTACCTCAATTGACCAATTTGGTTCTTGTGCTGCCTCATGATCGGACATTTTTTGTAACTTAGATCCCCCATGTCCAGGAAGATCAATTGCAACACATCTTGCAGATCCTGAGATGGCCTTCATAATGGGAATCCAGTCTTCACCAGTTCCAAACAAGCCATGAAGAAACACAAGTACACTATTCTGCATCAATTGGAAGAGTGAGCAAGTAAGAAACGGTCATAATTATGAGTAGCTAAATTTAGTCCTTTCAGAGCAATGAGAACAACAGAAAACAGACCAATTTAACAAGCTAAGCTGATGGCATGGAAGTGATCCAGCCACATTCTAGAGGAAATAATCACAGATACAAACCTATGTAGGGCAGAGATAATTGTTCAAATCCCAACATGAAAATTGCTACATATAAATAGGTAGCAGAAATTATCAGAGAGTCTCGTAAAGTACACACAAGAAGCAATTGTAAATATATTTATATGCATATAGTTTATATGAAGTAATAAAGGAAAAACATATCTGACGACAAAGTATGATACATTGGGACCAGAAAACAAACCC